ACCCGCTAGTCACCACATGTATTTCTCCTATCCGTTAATAAATGGACTTCAATGTTACCCGGTGTTTCCCTACCCATCACTGCCTTCTTCAGGGAACACTTGGAACCTTCATGGCACAGTGAGTAGGATCTGTGGACTTACAAGTGTGTGAACAATGGACAGTTAGCTGGCGATGTGCGACTGCTGGCGATGTGTGCTTCGACTCTTAGTGTGTTGTGTTGTGTTGTGTTGTGTTTCGCCGCGACGTGCAGTGTTGCGTCGTCACAGTGCGTTTTAGTGACGGTGGCAGTGTTAGCGTCAGTGTATTGTGTGTCTAGAGCTGAGAGTTGAGCATTGGCCTCTTTTTTGTGGTACCCACGGAGCACGCAGGCGTACACCCTTCTCGTGTGACATCCGGGGAGACACTAACTCGCCTCCGCAGTGGCTCCAGCCACCAAGGCCACCACGAAGTGCTCTCTCAGACACACACACACACACACACGCACTCACGGACAGAACAGTGGGCTCTATGCGTTATTTCTGCGCTGTTTACGTCATATACATGTGGTTCGAGCTGATGAGGCGCACTTTATATACTAAACAGCATACTAAGATGGACTGTAAGAAGGGACAACGTCAAGATGGGAGACATGACTCCCCACCACCATCCCCTCCACCGGGCGCAGACTCTCATCCTTCACCTCCAGCGACGGACATTGCCACAATTCTGAGGTGGATGGACGACAGGGATCAGAGACGCAGAGAGATGGAATTTCAGAGGGAGGAGATACGAAGAGAGGAGGAAAAGGCGCGTTTTGATGCACTATTGGCGACCCTGGTACTAACCCACCCTCTCTCACTCGCAGGTATCGCGCACCAAGGCGCCAGTACCCTCCCTCCTCCACCACACCAGCGTCCTCCAGGAACTCTTGCTACTCCAACAGCTCCCAAGGCATCTGTTCAACCCCCACCCGCCCTCTCACCAAACGTCACGTTTCAGCTTTTTCGTGAGTGGAGGCGGCGGTGGACAGATTACTGCACAATGGTGGACCTTGACAGCATGCCTCCAAACAAGCAGCTCATCCAACTGCAGATGTGTTTGTCGCTGGAGACCCAGAGAGTTTTGGTGCACACGTTGCAAGTGCCTCCCGATTCTACGTCTTCAGTGACGGATGTGCTCGACCTTTTACAGGAGCATGTTAAAGGTCGGAATAACGAGGCTTTGCGTCGCCGCGCCTTCACCAGCTGCAAGCAGGTGGAAAATGAATCCTTTGACGACTTTTTTGTATGTTTGAAGAGTTTGTCAGAGGAGATCGACGTCTTTAAGGTGCACAGCCAGGAATGTGAGGAAGCCTGGATCAAGCACGGGATCTTGGCAGGTGTTAGGCAAGAAGAGTTGATGCAGCGACTCATCCCCCTGGACGCTTCCTCCACACTCCAGGTTGTAGTGACTGAATGTCGGTCATACAAGGCCACCAAGTCCGCCACCTCTGCCTTACGGGCCCCACCTGCTGTGAGAGCTATCTCACGGTACAAGAAGGGTAAGAAGGCGGCCAACAACTTGAAGGCCGCCGCATGTTCATCCACGCCTCCGCCTAATGCTTCCTGTGGCAGCTGTGGAAAGCAGCATGGCCCCAAGACATGCCCGGCCGCCGACGCACTGTGTCGTGGATGTGACCGTAAGGGCCACTGGTCTAACACAGATAGGTGCCGGTGCCCTGCACGAGGCCACAAGTGTCAGGCCTGTGGTCGCTATGGACACTACGACAAGTGCTGCCGCCAACCCAAGCCCAAAAGCCCGAGACGAGGAGGAAAGCAGCGCACTTCCCTCGGGGTGGTTCGCACGCAGCCCCCTTCAGATGGCCCAGGCAGCCCCAAGCAGCAGCTGAGTCACATCAGGAGGCTGGAATCGACCACACGCCCAGGGCTACCCCTTCCCCTACCATCCGCGTCGCCGTCACACACGGTGATGTGTCGGGTCACATCGAAGTGATACTGGACACCGGCGCTGATACTACGGTGATAGGCCTGAAGCACCTCCAGAAACTGGTCCTCACCAAACGCGACCTAGGACCACTGCCGCAGCTGCAGTACTACAACGCGGACGGTTCCCAGATGCCGGACGCTGTGGGCTCCTTTCAAGTGGAGATCACCTACGGCGACAGGTCGTGTCACGGATTGTTCGATGTGCAGCCTAATCTCGCTACACCCTAGTTGTCGTGGGAGCACTGCAAGGCGTTAGGCGTGGGGCCCAGAGACTTTCCTGAGCAGATCCCAGCTGCTCGGTACACCGCCAGCAGGGTGCCCAGAACCCGCGTCCAATCCCGCCCAGCCTTCACCCAAGTCATGGCTGCTTCCTCTTCACAGCGAGACGTCTCCTTCAGCCGCAAGGGCCTACTTCATGAAGGAGTACTCGGATGTGCTGGTGACGAAGGAGGCCCTACGGACCGCGCCACTGAAGGCTATGGCGGGTCCGCCTATGAGGATACACCTGCGGGAAGATGCACAGCCGTTTGCCATACACACTCCCCGGTTGATTCCTCTCGCCTTCAGGGATTCAGTCAAGAAGGAACTGGATTCCATGGTGGCCCAGGGTGTCATCGTACCCGTTGGTGACGACCCGTCCCCTTGGTGCCACCCCCTAGTCGCTGTGGCTAAGACTAACGGTGGAGTGCGGATTACTACAGACTTGTCTAAGCGTAACAGCCAGGTGTCTCGTCCCGCCCACCCTTCACCCACACCTTTTGCAGCTATACTGAGTGTGGACCCGAAGGTACGGCACTTCTCGACAATGGACGCCCTCTGTGGTTTCTGGCAGATTCCACTGAAGAAGGAGGATCAGCCACTGACCACTTTCATCACGCCTTACAGACGCTTCCGCTACTGCCGTGGCCCTAAAACGGATTCGCTACTACGGGGGACGCCTTCTGTCTCCGTGGTGACATGGCACTTCAAGGCGTGACCAACTGCGTGAAGGTAGTGGATGACGTCCTCCTCTACGATGAGGACTACCTGACGCATCTTCGCCACATCGACGAGGTACTGACCAGGTGTAGGACGCACGGCATCACTCTGAATGCCGAGAAGTTCGTCTTGGCCGCACCTGCAGTGTCTTTCTGCGGCTACCGACTCTCAAGGGATGGCATTGCCAAACCTGCCAACCTTACGGATCTCAGGTCTTTCATGGGCCTGGTGAACCAGCTGGCAGAATTTTCTTCTGACGTCCCCGCCGCTGCCGGGCCTCTACGCCCCCTGATGAACCCCAAGAGGACTTTCACGTGGACCCCTGACCATGACCTCGCCTTTCATAAGGTGAAGGAGGCCCTGTCAAGTCCACCTATCCTCGCTACTTTCGACCCAGCGCTCCTCACCGTCCTCCAGACAGATGCCTCGCGCCTGTACGGGGCTGGTTACGCCCTTCTCCAGGATCACGGTGGAGGAACGTACCGACTCGTACAGTGTGGCTCTCGCTTCTTCACCGATGCTGAATCTCGCTACGCTACCATCGAGCTGGAGCGGCTGGCAGTGGTATGGGCCTTATCGTAGTGCAAATTTTACTTGATTGGCCTACAGCACTTCGACCTCATCACAGACCACAGGCCCTTGGTCCCCATTCTTAACCACTATTCGCTGGACGCCATCGAGAATCCCCGCCTCCAGCGCCTGAAGGAGAAGATTTTGGCCTTCGTCTTCACCGCGGCTTGGCGCGCAGGTAAGGAGTTGTGCATCCTGGATGCCCTCTCCCGCTCCCCAGTCAGCCGCCCGTCACCTGAAGACGAGATGCTCAGCACCGAGGCCGGTTTCTCCGTCAGCAACATCGTCACTTTGCAGGCCCTACAGTTCCTCGCCAGCACCCAGGCCTCAGTGTCGCCACCCGACAGCGATCTGGCCCTTGAGGAACTACGGACTGCGGCACGCGACGACCCCTCCTACACTCAGCTCTTGGAGAGTGTGAGGACTGGGTTCCCTCGCGACCGTTTTGACCTCCACAACGCCCTACGCCCGTATTGGAAGATACGTGAGGACCTCTACGCAGATGGGGACCTCGTCCTATACGGTGCCCGTGTGGTCGTCCCTGCAGCTCTCCGTCGTCGCGTTCTGGCCCGCTTACACGACAGCCATCGTGGAGCAGAGGCCACCAAGCGCCGCGCAAGGCAGGCTGTGTACTGGCCCTGCACTGACGCGGATATCGTCAATACGGTCCGTGCCTGTGAGCCGTGCCAGATCATGCAGCCCAGTCAACAGCAGGAGGCCCTCTCGTGCGACGACGAACCCACCAGGCCCTTCGAGTCCGTGTCGGCTGATTTCTTCAGCACAGCTGGGAAACATTTCCTAGTCGTCGCCGACCGACTCTCTGGCTGGCCTGTGGTGGTTATCTGTGGCTTGGACACGACGTCCGCGGCCACCATTCGCCACTTCCGACACCTCTTTCGTGACCTGGGCGTCCCCGTACGTCTGCGGACGGACGGTGGGCCACAGTTCACCAGCCGGGACTTCACAGGATTCCTGGAGCGTTGGGGAGTCCGCCACATCGTGTCAACACCCCACTACCCACAGTCAAACGGCCACGCTAAGGCTACGGTCAAGACAGTCAAGCACCTCATCCTCAAGGTGGCCCCTTCAGGCAACATAGACTGTGAGGCGTTTGACAAAGGACTCCTGGAGTTACGTAATACTCCCACCCACACAGGACGCTCCCCTGCCCAGATCCTGTATGGTCACCCTCTCCGCTCTTGCGTTCCTGCACAAGCCAAGGCCTTCGTGAAGGAGTGGCAGACCAGAGCCGAGAGCTGCGACCGCCGCGCCGCTACACGTGCCCAGGATGCCAAGGCTCGGTATGACGACCATGCCCGCCCTCTTCAGCCGCTGGAGATTGGTGCGGACAAGGGTGGCGTCCCGGATAAAAGTTATGGTGGTGGGGAAGGTGAGTTGACAAGACGCTGTGAAGTGTTTTGGTGGGGGGTATAGCTTATTCTCTCTCTCTCTCTCTCTCTAATACACCCTTCCTCCTCCTCACACAGCTGCCGTCAAACCTTCGCCTACACACGGCAAATCATCAGCTCACTTCAGCCTGACGCCCGTCATCGGCCTGGTGTTGGGAGCTGTGGGCGGCTTCTTAATCATCGTCATCGTCATCTGCATCATCGTTAGGGTTCGCTACTCCAGGCGGAGCGTTTGTGTTGGTCAGTGTGAGCGTGCAAACGTTCAGGACATCGCTGTAGGCCAAAACGACCCCTCCAGCGCCGCCTGTCACCCCAAGATGGCACCAACAAGTCTTCAAGACTCTGTGCCGCCGCCTCCCGCCACCTCGAGAGACTTCGATGAGAAAAACCCAGATGTTATCCCCCAGTCAGGTGAGGATATATTGAGACAGAGTGATAGAGATAGAAAGATAAATGAAGAGTCAGAGCATTATAAAGGTAATCGTTAAATATTTAAAAATCCATAATATGGTTCGTTCATTAATTAACAAAACGTACCCCTCATTAAATACTAATTAATACAGTAATTATATATACACTAATTCCTTGTTTACCTGAGAGCATTGTTAATTAATCTCTAGAGACACTATCTGAGTCTAAGTTTAAGCAACATTTTCAGACGTTTAATACAGGACCTCCTCAAGATGCTCATTAAGGTCTGGACTCAAAAAGTTTATAATATTAGTAATTACTAGTTGAGTTACCCAGTTACGTCCAGGTTGGTAAGGAATGTAACCAAATATATTAGACAGGAGAGAGTGCACGACCATCAGCTTGATCACCCTTACCTCCACGACCATCAGCTTGATCACCCTTACCTCCCTACCAAATTTCAGTTTCTTATCTTCATAATTTTGGAAAGTATTAAGGGAAATACAAAGAATACATATAGACAGAATGTATGTATGTTTATAAAGATTTATCTTATTTATTCTTCGTCACGTGTAATTTATCGATGGTGATTTTTGGTGTTATTGTTTAATGCTAACCACCTCATATGTCATTTGTACCAAAAGTCACCTCTGGTGTAATGGTCAACATGCTAGCCTCGCAAGCGAGCGGACCCGGGTTCGATCCCCGGGCAGGATGAAACTATGGGCTAGTTTCTTTATGCCATTTGCCTCTCTACCCAGCAGTAATTGGGAACCTGGGTAATGGTTAGCCAGTGCAATTGGCGAGTTGTCCGGTCTTCTCGGACTATTCCTTGACACAGGGTCATGCAACTCGTTAACTTAGGGTGTGGTTGTTGTGTTGGCGACAGCTTCTACACCTTAATTCATGCCTAGGTGGCCCTTGGGCAGGCCATCCTCGTTACACGAGGGGCAACCATTACATACGTACCTTCAACATGTGTCACTTATACTCTCCCCATGTGTCATACCCACCACATGTGTTACAATATACCTACCTCATGTGTCACAATTTAAGAACATAAGAATGGAGGAAACTGCAGCGGGAATATTGGCCCATACTAGGCAGTCCCGTTTACACCCAACTCCTATCGCTTGTTTGAAGCTATCCAGCGTATTCGAGTTAATGATGATGTTTGGTACCTTGTTCCACTCATCCAAACCAACGGTTACCTATCTCACGCCTAAATCTAAATTTGTCTAATTTAAAACCATTGCTACGAGTTCGCTCCTGGTTGGATAGAGTACCATATCGCCGCTCACTCTACGTCTATCGAGGGAGTGCAAATTAAGATGCTTTAACCTGTCTCTGTACACAAGGTTCCTAATGTACAGGATTAGTCTTGTCATTCTCCTCTGAGTTATTTCTAGGGAGTCTATATCCATTCTGTAGCACGGTGACTAGAACTGAACTGTGTAATCCAAGTGAGGTCTCACAAGCGCAAAATATAGTTTTAGGATAACCTCGTTTGTCTTGTAGCTAACTAACACTCCTTTGTATGACCCCAAGTACTTTGTTAGCCTTGTTTCGAGCTAAAACACATTGTTGAATTGGTTTAAGATTCCTACTTATCATTTCTCCTAAAGCTTTCTCACAGTCGGATTTCTCTATAACAACGTTGTTCATCTGATATTTGGTTTCTCTGTTTACAACTTATAGACTAAGTACTTTACATTTGTCCACATTAAATTTAATTTGTCATTTTCAGACCATTCGAAAAAATTCTTTTAGATCTTCCTGTAGTTTTGCAGAGTCCTTGTCAGATATAATTACACGACCTATTTTAGTGTCATAAGCAAATTTACTCATGTTGCTGTCTACACCTATATCTATGTCAATTATGTATATAATAAATAATAATGGTCCAAGTACTGAGCTTTGGAGTACTCCACCAGTGACGTTACCCCAATCGGATTTAGTGCCGTTAATGCTTACTCGCTGTTTCCTGTCCTGTAACCACACCCTAATCCATTTTAGAATATCTCCTCCAATGCCATAAGCCTCCACTTTTCGAATAAGTATTTCGTGGGGGTACTCTGTTGAAGGCTTTGGTAAAGTCGAGGGGCACATCATAATTGTGCCCGTCGTCCACTGATTCGAAAACAGCTGAAAAGAATGTTTATAGATTAAATGAACGCCCACTTGTGAAGCCATGTTGGGAATCATTGATCAAAATGTGCTTCTCCAGGTGATTTCGAATATGCCCAACCCATGCGTCATACCACCCTATGCGTCACAACATACCCATCCTATGTGTTACAATATACCCACCTCATGTGTCACAGAGGCCGACTCGTGTGTGGTGGAAGGCGTCAATACTATCAGCTCTGCGTCGCTGCCCACATCCTACGCCACCTTGCCCCGATCACAACACATCTGTACCCTAGCTAATTACCAGGTGAGTGCTGGATACCTGGTGGCAAGGGAAGAAGAGAGGGAAGAGGGAAGGAAGAGGTAGAGAGGGAGGAAGAAGAAGAGAAGAAGGGTGGGAAGGAAGGAGCGAAGGAGAGGAAGAGGGAGGGGGTGGGAAGGAAGGAAGGAAGGAGAGGAAGAGGGAGGGAGGGAGGGAAGGGGGGAGAGAGGGAGGAGGGGAAAGGAGAAAGGTCGGGGGGAGGGAGGGAGGGGAAGGAGAAGAGATGGGTAGGAGGGAGATGGAGGTAAAAGGGTGCAATGAATGTAATAGATGGATAGATAGCGTAATAAATGACTGTTTAGGAGAAAGATAGATAATGATGGACTAATCTTATATCAGTGTCAAATACACCCATTTTGTATATTCTGTATGTAAACTACTATAACCAGTACCTTAACTTGCCTATCCCGTATGCCACACCTTCAGTATAAACTCATTCCTCCTGCAGCAGCAGCAGCAGCCCTGTGGCGCTGGGGACGTGCAGTACGCCGAACTTATGCTGGGGAGCGCCACACCAAGTCCCCAGCACCACGACCACAAGAGAGGACCCCAGGACTCTCAGAGAACTGTCACGACCATCCCTCAACACCACGAACCCCAGAGAGTAATCTACACTACCCTGGATCACAAGAGGAGACATTCTCATTACCCTCCGCCTCACCAACACCTTGCCTACCCACAGCCCGTCTCCACCACCAACACCACTCCCACACATGCACTCCATATCCAGTCCACGCCCACGCACAGCGGCGGGCACCCAAAAGGAACACAGCACCCACCCTGGATCCCTTCTACAGCTTCCATAGGGCGTCGCCACTCCCTCAGACCTGACTCTCATATTAGAGACCCTGAGACTGTGGTGTCCATGATCCCCAACCAGAAGGAGAGCTCTGTGTAAGGTGAGTCAGGTGTGTGGTGGGTCAGGTGTGTAGTGAGTCAGGTGTGTGGTGGGTCAGGTGTGTGGTGAGTCAGGTGTGTGGTGGGTCAGGTGTGTGGTGAGTCAGGTGTGTGGTGGGTTAGGTGTATGGTGAGTCAGGTGTATGGTTGGTCAGGTGTGTGGATGATGGAGTGTGTGGTGGGTTAGGTGTGTTGTGGGTTGCATGTGTGATGGGCCAGGTGTATAGAGGGTTGAATGTGCGGTGGCTCAGGTGTATGGAGGGTGGAATGTGTGGTGGGTCACATGTGTGGTGGGTAAGGTGTGTGGTGGGTCAGGTGTGTGGAGGATTGAATGTGTGGTGTGTCAGGTGTATAGTGAGTTGAATGTGTGGGTAGTCAGATGTGTAGTGGGTTAAATGTGTGAAGGGTCAGATGTGTAGTGGGTAAAATAATAATAATAATAATAATAATTAACGGTTTATTGAAAGAGCTTGGCAGCCAGAAGGCTGAAAATATACAGTTACATATTTGGGGAATGGGTTACGAATTACAAATAATATACAAGTGACATAAGTGACACAAATAAGACATATAGTAACTTAGATGGGGATCAGCTCAAACTACAGTTCATTTCAACATAGTGACAGTGTAGGGAGCAGTGTTTACTGGGAGTGAATACACTGATTTATTACATGTTATTGATAATTTTTACAATGGTTGGGACTGGGCTGTTCTTATAGCGATCAGTTCGTGCACGTATGGGCTGGATGCGGTTGTGGTGTCGAACAGCAATTCTCGGACAGGGGATCTCAGGTGGTAGTAGGGGCCGGTGTCGGGGATGGTGTAGAAGCTTCTTACCAAATTTGCAGATGAGGCCGTGGTGATGGTCAGTGAGAGTCGAAAGGGTCAGTGTGTTGAGCGCTTCTTGATATGTGGAGTAGGAAGGGGAGAGAATAATCTTGCATGCCCTCTTTTGCACTTTTTCTAGGTGTTTACGTTGTGTGGCATTTAGGGAGGAAGACCAGGTGGGGGAGGCATAGGTGAGCTTGGGAAGTATGAATGTTGTGTATACACTGAGGAGCTCGTGTGCGGGAACTCCGAGGGACTTGAGTCGGCGGAGGAGGTGGAGACGGAAACTGGAGGATTTGACAACTTCACTGACGTGTGGTTTCCAATTTAGTTTGTTGTCTATGGTGACGCCGAGGAGCTTCGTGGAATCTACAACCTGGAGTGTGTTCGGACCTAGGGTAATGGAAGGAGGTGGGACAATGTCGGAGGAGAGGTTGATGTGCATAACCATGGTCTTGGTATGGTTGATGGTGACATGGTTGTTGGTGGCCCAGTTTTGGAGACTGGTCAATAAATCCTGAAGGGCGGTATAGTTGGGAGCAGAATTGTTGACGCTGATCCCAATGGTGGAGTCGTCGACATATTTCCAGCGAGCAGGGGTTTCTCTTAGGGCATCATTGATGAGCATAAGGAAGCAGAGTGGTCCCATCTTGGTGCCTTGGGGGACGCCACAGGTGAGTGACTGAAAGGTGGAGACAGCCCCTCGGAAGCGTACAGCTTGGCGTCGGTCACTGAGGAAGTCTGTAAGCCATGGTATGAGACTTCTCCGAAGCCCGAGGTCAATAGCTTTGTTTATGATTATATTGTGGTCGACTAGGTCGAACGCTTTAGTGAAATCAATGAAGGCGACAGCTACAGACGTTTTTCGTTTCTCGAGATGGCGGTATATGTAATCGAGAAAGCTGACAAGACAGTGAGTGGTGGAGGAAGTTTTCATGTTGCCAAATTGCTGAGGGTCTACGACTCCTGCAATATCAGCATAAGCCCAGTCAAACACAAAACTTTCACAGATTAGGCTGGGTATTGGGGTGATTGCAATAGGTCGTAGCTGATTTAAGGATTGTGGGCTGGTTGACTTGGGCACTGGTGATACATAAGAGGTCTTCCAGTCAGCTGGGCATCTGGCTTGACTGAGAGAAGCATTGATGATGGAGCAGAGGGGTTTAGCAAGCTCCGGGGAGAACTCCTTGAATAGTTTCATTGGTAAGTCAATGGGGGTGGTAGAGCGTTTTAATTTTAGTTTGTCCAGGCGTTTTGCTACGTCAAATTCCTCTACTAAGTCAGTGGGAAGGGGGGCTGGTAGGTAAGCAGGGAGAGTGGTTGTGTCAAGCCGTGGGAGCGTCTGGCATATAGTAGCGAAATGGTTATTTGTTTGCTCAGCTGCGTCAACATTAGTGAGATGGCTAAGGAAGGGGAGGGGGTGTGTCATATTGTTTAGTCCACAGAGTTCTTTAAGCTTACCATACCATTGACTGATGTTGGTCTGCTTCAGGTGTTGTAATTTGGTTGGGTAGTGGGACTTCTTTGCAGTGCGTATTTCGCGGATGACTCTGTTGCGAAGTGACCTGTAGCGGATGTGGTCATTGAGATGAAAGGCTCTGTCTCTCTGTTGCATAAGTCTTTTGATCCGAGGTGTGATCCAGGGCAAGTCAGCTGGGTGAGATCTGACGGACTTCTCGGGGAAGAAGTGGTGGTGAGCTTCGGTGGTGGTGTTGGTATAATTTATCCATTTGGTTTCCACGTCATCCACGCTGAGTACTTCAGTCCAGGGATAGTGAACTATCCACTGTCCAAAGAGGCGTACTGCAGAGTCAGTAATCGGCCTGTAGGTCTTGATGTAGGGTCTCTGTACTTGAGTGGGAGTGGCAGCAGGGGACCAGAGCACTGATAAGTGTGTGCTACACCCGATAGGAGGCAGTGGTTGAGGAGGTTGGTACTGGTCCGCTAAGTCAGTTAAGATAAGGTCAAGGGTGTTTTGACCGTGTGTGGGGAAGGTCACAACTTGTGATAGTGATAGCTGGTCCTGGATATCAGTGGTGTCAATTTCATTTAAATCCCCACATAATACTAACTTGGCACATGGGTACCTAACTCTGAGGTGGTCTGAGGTGGTGATGAGATGATTGATAAGAGTGTCTCTGGTGGGTGATCGAGGCGGATGGTATGCCACACAGATTATGATGGAGGCAGTGTTGCGTGGGTGTGCCCGCAGCACGACACGTACCCATAATGCTTCCACATCTGCTGGGACTTGAACATCCAGGCGTGACGGGCGTAGGTCATCTTGACAGAAGAGGGCAACGCCCCCTCCGCGTCTTTGTGGACGAAGGTGATGAAAGAGTTGATATCCCTCAATGTGACACGTTTCAGGTACAATTTGCCAAGTCTCACATATGGCAACCACGCGCGCGGCGGTTGACCTGACTGTAGTTGCCAGCTCGTCGAACTTGTTAGCTAGGGAAGTGACGTTGGATAGCAGTAAAGACGGGAGATCATACCATATCCGTGGAACTTCAGTGTGGTGGTATGGTCTGTCAGGGGTGGGTTTCTCCGGTTTCCTAGTGGAGGTTACGGTTCTAATGGGCTTATGTGCATGACGGCCTTGTCTACGGCTCCGCGCGTGGAATATTTTCAGTGACTTGAGTAGCGCGATAACACTCCCATCAGGATAACCGTTCCCACGCTTTAGATGATACAGAGTGCGTCGGGAGTAAGTGATTGGTGGCCATCGGTTGAAATCTGTTGTGGGCGGACGGAAGTGTTTGTCACTGGCGGCACTTTGAGGGACACTGACACTGGTAGACATCTGTTAATGTTTGTCAGTTGTAAAGACCGTGGACTTTGTCCTCGGTGCTTGGGGTCGCCGACACAGTTTTCACGATATATGTAAACACCGCGGTGGTCCTTGTCACTGGCACTTTAAAGTTGACCGATAAAGTGCCCACTGTCTGACTTTTCCTTGGGGTGCACTATCGAGCACTGTATGGTAATCACTTATTGCACTGATGGCTAGAATGTTTTGCCGAGAAAGTTCCTTAGGTGCACTATAGGAACACTGCTCCGTAATCATTCGTTCACTAATCACTAGAATGTTTTGCCGAATCGATCCTGGTGTAGTAAGGCTGGTAGGGCGTTGGGGTATAGCAGGGGGAGTGGGCAGGGCCAAACAGATTCGGCCTGGCTGCTAAAACCGAGAGCGCCTTCAGGCACGTCTTATGTGTGGTGGGTCAGGTGTGTAGTGGGTTGAATATGTAGTGGGTCAGGTGTGTGGAGTTTCAGGTGTGTAATGGGTTAGATATATGCTGGGTCAGGTGTGTGGTTGGTTAGGTGTATGGATGGTAGTGTGTGGTGGGTCATATGTGTGGTGGGTCAGGTGTGTAGTGAGTCAGGTGTGTGGTGGGTTGAATGTGTAGTGGGTTGAATAAGTGGTGGGTCAGATGTGTAATGGGTTAAATGTGTGATGGGTCAGGTGTGTAGTGAGTCAGGTGTGTGGAGGGTCAGGTGTGGGGTGGGTTGAATGTGTAGTGGGTCAGGTGTGTAGTGGGTTAAATGTGTGGTGTGTAGTGAGTCAGGTGTGTGGAGGGTCAGGTGTGTGGAGGGTTAAATAGGTATGGGTCAGGTGTGTAGTGGGTTGAATGCGTGGTGGGTCAGGTGTATAGTGGGTTGAATATGTAGTGGATCAGGCGTGGAACGGGTTGAATGTGTGGTGGGTCAGGTGTGTAGTGAGTCAGGTGTGTGTGTGTGGTGGGTCAGGTATGTAGTGAGTAAGGTGTGTGGAGGGTCAGGTGTGTGGTGGGTCAGGTGTGTGGTGAGTTATGGTAGTGTATGGTAGGTCATGGGCAGGGTCCTCCAAAGAGACGGGGTACACACGCACACATGCACACACACACACATTTAGCGATGAATGTTTCTACTCATGTTTCAAAATACAATCACTGGTGCACATATACAGCATATTTACAGTGTGTCAGTGTGAAATAAGTAGCTTTGATACACTGAATGGGTTACTGGGTAAAGTTTTTACATTATACCCAAGTGATAATTGTTTTCACCAATTAGTTTTTTTTATTCCTTCAGCGAATGATAATGCTATACATTGACATCCATAGGTATTACACAATAGGCATCCTATAAGCAATGGATTCTCTGATGACAATATTAATAGTATGTCGTTAACA